TGCTTTGTTTATTAACTATTCTTTTAATTTTTTGATTCTAAATTAAATTATTTAATTTATGATTCATGATTTTATGGTATGTTATATTTGGATTTTCTTGATCATGGCATTGAATAGTTATGAGCATAAAATGGACATGGAGTACTTGCTAGCTTTGGTTTTGAATATTTTATAGCATTGTTATATTTTGGTAATACCATGGTTATCAAATCAAAATGATAAAATTCTCGAGAATTATTTTAACACAAAAAAAATTGTGAATTTATAAATCTTTCCAAAAAAAAGTAAGTATATATGTTCTTATCATAAAATTATATTTTATGGTCCATATTCCATGATTGCATTTTATTGATAAGAGAATAATGCATGATTCACATTATTTGATTTATATAATATTATTTCGACAAGAAATAAACATATTATCTAAGATAACTTCAATTCAATTAGAGAAGTTATATAAGTTTTTGTAACTCGTTAAAATGATTTCTATTTGTTGGGTGAAAAAAGTTCATGTATTTTATAATTTGGACACAAAATTTATAGTATTGTTTGGTTATATATGAAATTTTGACTGTTTTTAATGACATGAACCATGGTGAATATGACTTTAGTGTCCATGATCAAATAACTTTTAGGTGTCCAAGAATTGGAATGAAAATCTCAAAAGGAGACTATAGAAAGCATGAGTTTATTAGTTTTGAGAGTAATTATATTTGGTATCATACTTATTGATGCATACTCTCGTATTAAGTTGAAATAAAAGTTTTGAAACTTTTGTGTGAAGAAAATATTAAGATATAGAATATTTGTTAGTTATCTTTCACTAATGATGGATTTGGAGGCTTCCTACTTAAAAAAAATTATCAAATAGTGAAAAGATAAATGAAATGGCAACTTGATTAAGTATATATAATATTTTGATAATTGAATGAGACATTCTTTAATAAAAGAATGCATATGTGTACATGATGGAGGTGATAAGAATAAGAAAATAAAAATTGCTATCATAGTGTTGTAAGATTTTAATATAATTTTATAAGCAAATTAGACAAGCTAATAAGTTTAGTACAACTTATTAAAGAGCCAATTGTACTAGAAGAATAATTGTATTAAAATAGATAAAAATGTAGAAATGAAATAGTTGAAATTTTACAAGTATAGAGTTGTGGCCACAACTAATATCAATTTCTTAAAATGATAAGATTGATGAAACAATGTTTAGAGTATATAAATGACATGCAAAATGAAAAGTTTGGACATATTAACCTATAAAATATATATATTAGAGATTCAATCTTAAGTGAAGGTAATTATCATAAAAGAAAATTGAAATGTAAAATATTTGGTTAGTAATACAACAAATAGAATGGATTTAAACCCTTACTATTAGATACCAATAATGGGAACCTGACATTGAATTAGTAACCTCTAATTACAAAGTTTAATGGATAAAAACAAGTTATTGTTATATGTTTGTTAGGCACTAGTAGAATCTATTCAAATTTTAAAAACTAGTGTGATCCATTGTGTAGAGATGATGGGTTTTTATATTTTTAATGGAGTTTATTATTTAAATATTTAAAGCAATGGAGACATAATGAAAACTCTATTTATATAAACATAAAAGTGATATCATTTCAACAAGAAGAATTAGGGTCTCACTTGTAAATATTTGTTAATAGGATAATTATATGACCATAATAGTACTAAAGTGAATATAAATTTTTATAGAAGAATAAATATGTATTATGTGTATTATATCTCAAATTCTAACACTAAGAGTTGAAGTTTAATCTGCAGATACCATTAACTTTGTTAGAATTCTAAGATATATATATATATATATATGCTAATTGAAAGTTTAAATCGAAAGATATATTATTATCTTCATAATATTTATTTATGTGAAATGTTAAAAAATAAGCATCAAAATTTCAAACTAGTGAGGGATTGTTGGTAATTTAGATTATGATACATCTCACATTAGATAAAAAGATTTAATTATTGATGAATAAAATTAATTTTTATCTTAAATTTTATTCATATTTAAATAATTATATTTAAACATAAATAATTATCATATAATAAATAGTCATAACTATTTGAATATAAATATATTATTATTCAGAAAGACCATAATTATACAAAAAATCATAACCATTTGAATACAAGCTTATTTTTATTCATTCATTATAAATAAATCTTTCAATATAACCATTTTCATTACTTTGTTTAGAAAGTTTTTAGATTTTGTTATATCCTAAATGCATAATTACTTTTAAAAAAGTATTTTTTATGCCTTAAAACTAAAATTATTTTTTTTATTTTTTCAATTATTTTGTTTATTTTTTCTAACAATAACTACTTTTTATACAATTTTAGCTCTTGACATTTTTTTTACTCTTCAATCTTTCAATTGATTTTTTATTTTTTGAGATTGTGTGAAATGTATAGGACAAATGGATTGGATTTTGTGTATAGTATTTTGGTTTATATAATTAACATCTTCATCTATATCATAACTTTCACTTAGATTCTACTTTACTTTTGCTCTAAATTATACCAATTGAACCATGCTTGATTTATTAAAGAATTGACAATCATGAATATATAATATCAGCATCTGATTTAACTTTTTTTTATAACATATAATAGAAAACTTATTCTCAATCTTTATATATTCACTTACGAAAGTATTCAAAGTTAAAGATTTCTTGAATATATACATTTATTAATAAAGGAGCTCGATTTTACTCTATTGAATCTATAGATTGATCACATTGAATATATAAAAAAAATGACTATAGCACAATGAGGGCTCAATTCTATTGATCATGAAAATAAAATAAAATGAAGGATGACCTTGGCGCAATAATTTTATCATTTTCATATAAATTTTCCTTAATTTCTTTTTCATATTTATAAGTATAACACCGACAATATCATAATTAAGAAGTAATTTCATGCATGCCCTTAACTGCCAAATACAAGATCATTTTCAAATTAAGTTATGCAATAATATTAGAAAAAAATCAAGTTTTAAGCAAACCTGACCCGACCCGATATATATAAAAAATTTTATTTTTTAATTATTTATTTATATATATTTATGTATTTATTTAATTTTATATTTATATTTTAAATTTTTTTATATTTTAAAAATAATATTTTATTAATTTTGGATCAAGTTAAGTTTGGTACAGTTTATATAATATTGGGTTGGGTCGGGTTCGGGTATGAAAAAATAAAAAATTTTCTTGAGTTGATTCGGATTTTATAACTATAAAGTTGGGTCAAGTTCGGGACGAGCAAAAACCTATCCCGAACCGATCCATTGCAATCCCTACGCAATACTACTTTAATTGTCAATAAGAATATCCATTGAGCTAAAATTTATAATTCTAAAAATGTTCAAATTATATTGTTTGATCAAATTATGTAATTAATTCATCTATTTTAATGTGTTCATATTAGATCTTTATACATTAATTAATTTATTAAAATTTTATACTATAATATATCATACCATATTAGGGTTCATTTAGATGTACGATGAAATTATTTTCAATGAGATTGAAAATAATAGTAGTAGTAAGATTAATTATTGTAGTTTTGAGATTAAAATTAGTGGTGAAATATTTGTTTGAATGTAAATACAATAGTAATGATAATATCAAATGTAATGAAAAGATAAAATGACAATTAAGGATATTAGATTAAAACTTATATATAATAAAATTTACAGTATATATATGATATTTATTACATTAATAAATAATTAAAATTTATTTATTTATTATATAATAATAAAATTTATTATATAATAAAATTTATTTTTTATATTAAATTAACTAAATTATTTTGTAAATTTTAAAAATAAATTATAATAAAAAGAATAAATTATAATGATATTTTTGTCTTTAAAACTAAATTTGAAGGACAAAAAAGAAGCAAAAAATATGAAGATGGCACAGTTGCTCACTTTGCTTACTGATAAAAAAGGTAGTTTAATCCGAATTCGATAAATTTCGATTAAATCCAATATTTTAAGATCAATTTATTTTTGTGAAAATCAAATATCGAATTAAAATCAAATTTTAGATAAATTTAACCCGATATATATATATATATATATAAAATTAAGATCGCACGATTGCTCACTTTGCTTGTTGAAACAAAAAAGTTCTGTGGCTCATTGGTTCAATTGCATCTAAATATAGCCTCAAATAATTATTAATTATAAAAACCTGATCTGCATGCATGCCATCTTATCTAATACTTATAGGATATCTTACAATAAAATTATTTTATGCATTAATGATTTAAGTGTTAGTTTTCAATGGGTGGATATGCAATGAATATTCGATTGCTTTATAAATTCGATTGTTTTAATCATATTTGATGTGTCATTGATTTAGATGACAATTCTTTTTTTATAAAAATGAAAGAGTGTGATTTAATACATGATTTTTCATAAAGAATATAAAAAAAAAAAAAAAAACCCATCTTATAATGAAGATCCTCTTGTTGGAAGAAGATTGAAGATCCAAAATTCTAAGAGAAATTGATGTGTCATTGATTTGGATGACAATTCGTTTTATAAAAAATTAAAGATTGTGATTTAATTCATGATTTTTCTTAAGAATATTAAAAAAAAAAAGAAAAAAAGCCCACCTTATAATGAAGATTTCTTGTTAGAAGAAGATTGAAAATTCCAAAATTCATAAAGAAAATACCCCATAAAATAAAAAATACCTATCATTATCTACCAATAAAAAACATAAAAAATTAATTATTCGTCGGATCAGTTAATATATTATTAAAATTATTATTTAATAATTATAAATTCAAAAAATTTTATCTTTTTTTTTTCAATTAGATATATAGTAAATTAAAAGGGTTTAAGAATATATTAAAAATTAAAGAAAAAAAACAGACACATATAAATACAAAATCATTTTGTTCAAAAATAAGCAAAAGCCAAACACCTCACCTTTTTTTTTCTCTCTCTCTCCCATTTTCCCTATTTTCCCGATCGACAAGTTACCTTTTATCTTCTTCTAAGTTATAACCCAAAAATAATTTTTAAAAAAAGTTATAACTCAAAAATAATTAAAAATAAAAAGAAAACTTTTTTCCTTAAATTTCACTAAAAAATTCATTTATTTGTTTATGTTCATGTTTATGGTTAAAACCTAACAAGAAAAGATTTTTAACAGTAAATCAGTTGAAAAAAAATTGAGAATGTATACATTGAAAGATAAAGTGGCGGGGAGTCTTTCAAGTTTATTTGCAGATTCACCAAATCATTCTTCTCCTTCTTCATCTGATCTTTCTCAGGTTATTTCTTTTTTTCTTTTTGTATTTATTGTTTGAGAAACTAGATCTGGGTTTTCATGGGAAAATTATGATTTCTTTGTTTTATTTATGATCTTTGGAAAATACCTGAAATTTGTTGATTTGGGTTATAATTCTTTTTTTTTTTTTTCATTTCGTTCATAAAAATGTAATTTTTTTCTCATAAAGATATGTTCTTTGTTTAGGCCTAAGATAACCCACTTCATGCGTTGGTCTAAATTTATGTTTTTCATTTCAGTTTCAATTGTAAAACTTTAAAAAGTGGTCTTTGGATTGGTCATGTAAATAGTTTTAATTTCAAGTTTCTTTTTTTTTTTTTTTGGCTATTTTATGTTTCAGCTATGTTTGTATAATTTGAAAGAGTCAATAACTTCATTGCCTTTTAAGTTTTATATTTACTTGTGAATTTTAGTTCAGTGATTTGGTGACGCGAAATTCTTGAATGTGTAGGCCAGATGGTATTCCAAAGGAACAAAATCTGTGTCTTCAATTTTTTCTCACATTATCCCTTCAGTAAGCTTCGGTGGTTCTAAATTGAATGATCATGGAAGTGATCTCAAGCCAATTCAGTCACTTCCTGTTAGATGGAAAAATAAGAAATTTGAGGTGCAAAATGAATCCTTGGATAGCTGTAAAGAATATATCATTACTTACGCAAATGAAGACTTAAAAAAGGTCTGTGAAGATAGGAAGAAAATTTGGACAGATAGTGACAATAAACAAACGGATAGTCCTCATAGTGAGGATAAGGACCGCTCCTCAGAAAAGAGCAGCAGTGATTCTGATGAATTTCAAGAAGCAAGAGAGCAACAGAGTCCAGTAAAGCTTTCACCGAATCTTTCTGATGAATCAATGTTTTTTACTTGTGATTTGTACGAATTCTTGGTGTCTTCCCTTCCCAATATCGTTAAAGGGTGCCAATGGATGTTGTTGTATAGGTAAGTCTTTGGTGTAAGCTGCTTTGTACTTTTGATTTTGGATCTTGATTTGGTATTTACTCTTTCTAATGAAGGGCAGTACGTTGAAACATGGTATATCACTCCGTACGCTTATTCGTAAGAGCACTGAGCTTCCTGGTCCTTGTTTGCTGGTATGTTGATGTTTATATACTAGTGAATGCAATTGTCATTAGAGCTTGTCTATCTGAATTTTAATGCTTAATTAGTTTTTAATACATTGGATTATTTACATGGTGTCGTACAAATTCTAGATTACTGGAGATCGTCAAGGAGCTGTCTTTGGTGCAATGCTAGAATGTCCCTTGAAACCCACACCAAAGAGAAAATATCAAGTATGCTATCTGGCCTGTTTCAGTTATGAATATAGTTTTATGTACATGATGACTTGGTTTCATTTTGTGATTTGCTGCATGTTTTCCATGCTTCTCTAAGTCCTTTCATTTCTTACTCTGTAAACTATGATTCTGCCACCTTCTTAGCATTATTTCTCTTGTTTTATGACAGGGAACAAACCAGACGTTTGTATTCACAACCATATATGGTGAACCAAGGCTATTCAGAGCAACTGGTATGCTATTTTGGCAAAGCATTTTATGTATTTTATTTCTTTGATACTGTAGGGAACATATTAAGACAAATCATACGCATGTAATGAGATAGATAAAGAGAATGATTAATTTAATGTATGACTGCTAATTTAAAGATGTGATTTCCATCATGCTGCTATTAAAACCTCCACATTCTTCCTATGCAATGTGGATCCTTTTCTATCCTGTTTTCTCTCACATATGCCCAATCTGAAATTTGCTCTGTATGAATTTGATTTACAACTAAATGCTATCAACTGTCAAATGCAAATTAAAGATTGATTTTTTTATACCAGGCCCTTTGTTTCTTTCCAGAAACTAGATAAGACATGATTGTGACCTTGATGGATGGCATAAGCAATTAATACTTTTGTTTTAAGGACTGATATGCTAGTTTTTCATTGAGCGCGAGATTAATTTCTTTTTAATCTGATAACGTTTTAAGCACTTTGCTTGAGCTGATGTTGAACAGTTTTCCATGCTATTATAGGCTCTGATCTTGTGTCACATTTATCGAAACAGGTGCCAATCGATATTATTATATATGTTTGAATGACTTGTTAGCACTTGGTGGTGGTGGCAACTTTGCTTTGTCCTTGGATGGAGATCTGTAAGTTGCAATCTGCAGTTCTCCCTTTTAGAGTTCTACCGACTAGTCTTATGTTAAAAACATTCCATATTCCTTTCTCATGATTGTGATTTTGTCTTTACAATAGATTAAGTGGAACTAGTGGACCTTGTGAAACATTTGGGAACTTGTGTTTGGCTCATAAAGAAGACTTTGAGCTAAAGAATGTCGAGGTAATTTTACTTTCTTTTGACCATTTTTAGTTATAAATTGTTTTTGGGTACCTGTTTCTAAGCTTAAAGCTTAAAACAGAAACTTGAGTGATCCTGATACAGGTTGCTGATTGAATCTCCAATATGGTAGTTCTCAAGTGAAAAAGTGATAAAAATGGCCGATGCATCTTCAACTTAATAGTTTATTTGTACTACGAAAATTAACCCATACCAATGTGCCCTGACATGCCTACTATAAGTAAATGTATATGGAAAACTTGGCTTGTCTGTTCTTTTGGATATGTTCAACTTGTCTGACATCGAAATTTCTCTCTTCATTGGTTATGTAATGTTAGCCACTGTAACTCCTCTTAACCGCAGGTGATGAAACAATTGTTTTGGTTCACTGAGATGCTCTACTTGTGATCAATCAGGATCGCAATATTGGATGAACTTCATTCTAGATCCCTTAAACTATAGAACTAAAACTCTCTGAAAATACTTAGGTTTGCTTGCCCCTGTTAACATTAGACTCAGGAATTTTAACAATACGTTGGAGCTTCATTTACAAGGAATTCCGACCATTTCTCAAGGAAATCCGGTTTATGATTTGTTGAGCAATCATGTTTCCTTTAGATTTATTTAAGTTTGAAACTTTTACTGTTTTTTTCTCCGTTTTAACTGTTGTCTGATTGTATCTTTGTATTCAATGCACTTCATGCAGCTTTGGGGTTTCAAGCATGCTTCACAGTACTTCAATTGAAAGCAACTAAAAGAAGGCTGGGCTGGGATTTTTAGCTCATCTGTATTATTTAGAAAGTATCCTTTGACTTGTACTATTATCCCTGCGATTGGGGGTGTGCAGTCGGCTAGTTTGGTTAATTCGGTCTGAAAAAATCAATAATTGAATTAACTGATTTTTATTTTATCAGTAACCGAATCGACCAACAAAATTTTAACTAACCGATTTAACTGAACTAATCAAAAATCGGTTCGATTCGGTTAATTCGGTTAAATAACCGAATTTTTCATCATTTTTTCTCTTATTTTGAATAATTATTTAGCTACAAATTCAATCTAATAAAACTCAAATTCACACATCATTCAAACTAAATCACTAAAGAATTTAATAATTTTTATAATATTTTGCAAGAAAAAAGACAAATAAATGCTCATTTAAACTTATTTAATCAAAATAAATTAAATAATAAGTTTTAAAAAGTATTATTTTAACATATATCAAATAACTAACAAAGCCATCAATACATAATAATTGTCAACAACACATAAATAAGTTTTCAAGAGTCAACAGGTCAACTTAAAAAAGCAAATCAAGTAAATATGCATCTCGTAACTTTGGTGCAAAACATAAAAGACATTTTAAGTTGACAAATTGAGTTAACAACTCATACAAAATATAAAACAAGTTAAGAACACTCCGAGTTGATAAATAGATATAAAAGTTTATAAAAAAGTATAAAACAAGCTAATTAAAGGACATTCCAAGTTCTAACAGCATTTTTCATGTATGAACCCCATAAATTTGTTGCACATCCTTCATTTTTTCCTAAAATGTTAAAGAGATTAAAACTTTAATTAGTTGTCAATAAATACAATAAATATTTTTTAAATGTAAATATTCATAGAAATTAATAATGAAATTACCTCAAAAGGTCTATGCACTTTTGTGTTAATCAATTACTGGATCTAAGGTAATTTTTGACAAATCTAAAAATATATAAACAAAAAATAATAAAAGTAAGCTTTAAACAAATAAAAAAATAAAAAATAATAATCCTTAAAAAATAAATGACGGTATAAATAAAATATTACCTAAATCCATTTTGTCAAGTTGTATCAAATCATCTTTAGGTTGAAATGAATCAAGATTAGAAGATCTACGTAACCAATCTTGAGCACAAATAAGGGCTTGCACAATTTTAGGAGTTAAAGAGCTCCTATATGCATCAAGCACATGACCACCAGTGCTAAAAGCAGATTCGGAAGCAACTGTGGATATAAGAATTGCTAATACATCACGAGCTAGATGGGAAAAGATAGGAAACCTATGGCTATTAAGTTTCCACCAAGTTAAAACATCAAAGTCATCACTATCATCATCATCAGGCTCTTCACTCAAATATTTAGCCAATTCTGATTTATGTTCATCTTTGTCATGTTCAATCCTATACCTCTTATACTTGGACTTAAAGCTTTCTTTCTTTTTTGTCGTTCCATTTTCACTTTCATCATCGGTGGGTTGTGACATTTGGCTCACTTGATTACTTTCACCAATTTGCTCAGACTTAGGTTCTAACATTCTTTTGTATTCATTAAATAAGTCTTTTATTGCTTGTTGTACTTTTTTAATCATCAATGAAACTTCATCAGAAGAATACATTTTTATGAAGCAATATTCAACAAAAGGAAACTTTTTTGAAGGATCAAGAAGAGAAGCAATATAAACCAACATACTCATCTTCTCTATATTTTCTCAATACTTATCATATTTATCCTTCATTCTCTTTGCCATTGCATTCAACTCAACATCAGAATTTAATTGCCATTCTCGCAAAGTGGAATAAACATCACATATATCATTAAGAAAAGTATTAGATGTGACGTAAGAAATACCTGAAACTTTCACGGTGAGATCATAAAATTGTTACAAGAAAAGGCAAAACTTCCTAACAATTGTCCAATCATTTTGATCAGGTACCCCATCTCCCATGAAAAGCTCACCTTTATAATAAAGATCAACATCATCAAATGCATCAAATGCCTTTTCAAACTTTTGAGCTACATCCAACATCAAATAAGTAAAATTTCATCTAGTGCTAACATCCAAACACAATAAACTTTTACTTTGAATATGTTCATTCACAATACACTCTTTAAACTTAGCTAACCTGGAAGGTGATTGTCTCACATATCTTATTGCCCCTCTAACACGAGCAATTGTTTCATCATTTCTTTCAATCCATCACAAACAATAAGATTAACAATATGTTGCAATGCATCTCAAATGAAGATATTTACCTCCCAAAATACTAGTTCCAGCATTGTTAAATTTTTTCCTCAAATATGCAATTGCAACATCATTAGAACTAGTATTATCAACTGTAACAATAAAAATCTTATCAATCTCCTAATCACGCAAACATTTTTCAATCGCCTTACCAATAGCTTCACCTTTGTGACTAGAAATGAGACAAAAATTTAATATCTTTTTGTTTAGTTTTCAATATTTGCCTATGAAGTGAGCCGTAAGACACATATAATTGATCCTTTGTAATGAGGTCCATGTGTCAGTGGTAAGAGATACTCTTGTAAAAGATGATTTTATGAATTGCTTCAAATGAGTCTTTTCATCAATATAAAGCTGATAGTAATCCCTAGCAACTGTCCATCGTGATGGTACACGAAATTTAGGACATGTAATGCCTAAATCTTTCTGACTCCACAAATCTAAATAGTAACTCTTTTAGAATGATCATTTTAGCTACAGCTTTTCTAATAACATCTTGATTAAATTTTCAAGTGCTTAAAGATTTCACTCCTCCTGACGGCAACATCAATTCTGTTTGAGTTTCATCATCCCCACTAACACGAGGAAGCTTTTTACAAGAATTCATGTGATTCTTTAAAGCGGTGGTTCCATTCTTTTTAGGATCAGTAAAAAATTCTCTATCACAATAATTACACCTAGCTTTACAATTACCTTCCTCATTAACAAATTTAGTAAAGTGGTCTCATACCTCTGACCATGGCTTAGATGCTCGTCTCATCACTTTGAAATTTACAGTTTCACTTTTTGTTACCTCATTATATGTAGGAAGTTGAGAGGCCAATTGTGTTTGATTAGGTGTAGAATCCAAAATCATATCATTCACTTCATTTGACATCTTCAAAAAAAAAAAAAAGCAAGTGATCAAATTATATCTAAACAATAAAAAATAAATAATTAAATTATATTAAAATAATAAATAAAAAATAAAATTATATTCAAATAATGAAAAAATAATAAGTAATAGTCACAACAATTATTGAACGACATTGGTATTCCAAATAATGAATAGTTTGTTAATTCAAACTATATATAGTTGCTTATTTTATCAACAAACAACTGTAAGTGTCTAGAATTCTAATCCCTTACTCCCATCAAGTAAGTACTTTTTATTTTTTTGCGAAAAAAAAAAAAGTCTGCCTATCCCAAAAAACAATCGTCTTCTGTGATGTCAGGGAGAAATCGTCTGCTCACTTGCGACAAGAGGGCATTTTTCTGGCTCTCTTTCCATTCGTTGATTTCATCTTTTACTCGTGAGTTGTGGGGATCATCTCGAATCGTCTTAGTCCACATCATACCATGGTTTGCCACACCAATATTTTTTTTAACATTGAACATAACACTTCTTCTTCAACTTCAATGTAAAAGCTTTACTTTTAAAAATGAATCAAAGATTGCGAGCAAAAAAGCAATTACAGTTACCAGCTTAGCTCGAGGAAGATTTATCGAAGGATATGCCTTTGTATAAGCAAAGAAAGAGCTTTGGGAATACCAAACAAGTCATCAACTTATTTTACAAAGAAAATTTGGCTGCTAAAATCATTTCTATTGGTCTGGGAGAGGGAGGAGTTCATTCATCCTTTCACAAGGGGATTCGCAAAGTAGAAGTCATTAACCCGAAGAATCAACCACTTTTTTTTTTTTAATGGGCTAAGTTGGGGGAAAGAAAGAATCAACCACTCTCTTTGGATTTGCCCAAGATTTTTGGAATTCATTTATTTCTCTCAGGAGTGGCTTGCTTTGGCTTTGGCGCATTTCATGTAACGGGATTGTATGGTCCTGGAATATAGGTGTCCGACCCTTATGGTTTGTAAAAAAAAAAAGTCAAGTTTATGGCCCTCTATATAGATATCGAAACCTCAGCAATTTTAGGGTCCGCTAGACCCATGTACCGAACAAATATGTAGGAGATGCGACAGTTTTGTTCTAGTCTATGACAGCACTACAACTAACACAACTACAAGCTAAGGCACAAAAATAGTACCAGTGAGAGCGAAGCAAGCTGGAACTGGCAGAAACTGTTATTGAAAATCTTGCTCCCTTCATTTTTATAAGTTAAAGCGTTTTCCTCGACTAAAAGGAGTATTTTCACAGCTCGCTACAGATACTGTAAATCCAGGTGGGGCGTGAAAGGTTTTGATCCTTTTGTTCCAGAACCTAGTCAATCAATTGGAGGAGTAAACAAGCCACTGAAAGTCCTAGACCTATTCCTTTCGAGCTAAAGATAGGGTCCATCTATCGATTCACTCTAAACAACAAAAGGTACTGAAAAATACCAGCAAAAAAAACATTATCGTGGGCACACCCTGGGGCTGGGGTTTGGCCGTTTGGGTTATGCTTTAGCTTAAAACATATAGGAAGAATATAGCTCTAAACATCATGCTAAAAGAAAAAATAAAGGTTATTAAGATTTAAGAACTTACGATGGGGTCTTGGGCAGATTGATCTTTACAACTGTCTGATCTTGTGTAGCAAATTAGAGGGAGCAAGAGATTAACAGGCAAGTAGCCAAGCAAGAGAGTAAGAGGGAGGCAAAGATGCAAGAGATTGAAGGAGACAAACTGCAAAGGGCAGAGGCATGGTTAGATGCAACAGAGGGGGAGCAAAGAGCAGAAAGGGGAAACGGCGTGGTGGATGAATTAAAAAA